TGAACTGGCGGCCATACAGGATGCCAGTACTGCAGATTGGGGCTGTAACCCGCTGCACCACAGCGCTGGCCCCTGTCCTAGATTCTTGATGTTTTGGAGATTTAATCCTTTCAAGTCTAGAAAATAATCTTATAGCTTCTATTTGCTGATTTTCCCCCTACTTCTTCTGGGTTTTTCTCTGATTTTCCTGTTTTTCTCCTATTGTATATTTTTGTGTCCTGTTTCTTTTGGTGAGATTTCTTGAACTTGATCTCTCTAGCCTTTCGGTTGACTTTCTTAAAAGTTCAGCTTTTGCATTCTTAATCCCCAGGAGCTCGTGCTTGTCCAGTGTCTTTTCCCTTTTTAGTGTATCCTGCTCTTGTTTCCCGCAGGCACACTCTTCCTTCTAGGGTGTTAATTAAAGTTTTTTTTTTAAGTTGTATTCTGTTCTCTCTTTTTTTAAAATTTATTTGACAGGTAGAGTTATAGACAGTGAGAGAGAGAAAGACAGAAAGGTCTTCCTGGGGCCGGTGCTGTGGCTCACTTGGTTGATCCTCTGCCTGCGGCGCCGGCATCCCATATGGGCGCCGGGTTCTAGTCCTGGTTGCCCCTCTTCCAGGCCAGCTCTCTGCTGTGGCCCGGGAGTGCAGTAGAGGATGGCCCAGGTGCTTGGGCCCTGCACCCCATGGGAGACCAGGAAGAAGCACCTGACTCCTGGCTTCGAATCGGCACAGCTCTGGCTGAAGACCTTTCTGTCTCTTTCACTGTCTAATTCTATCTGTCAAATAAAAAAAAATTTACTTCACGTGATGTTTAAAAAAAAAAAGGTCTTCCTTCCATTGGTTCACTCCCCAAATGGCCGCTACAGCCGACGCGCTGTGCCAATCCAAAGCCAGGAGCCAGGTGCTTCTTCCTGGTCTCCCATGCGGGTGCAGGAGCCCAAGCACTCGGGCCATCCTCCACTGCCTTCTCGGGCCACAGCAGACAGCTGGACTGGAAGAGGAGCAACCAGGACTAGAACCCGGTGCCCATATGGGATGCTGGTGCCGCAGGCGGAGGATCAACCAAGTGAGCCACAGCGCCAGACCCCTGTTCTCTGTTTTATTTGCATTTCTTTCTTCTTGTTATAAGCTTGGCTACCTTGTTCTCTGGCTGGGCAGGGGAGGGCGGCTAGGTGGTCACTTCCCTGTGGTTGCTGTCACTGCACACCTCCCCCGCTCCATGTCCCAGATCGGAGCAGCTGTGGGTGCCTTTCCTTTAGAGAAAAGTGCCAGGTCCTCTGTGACGCGAGGGTGGGCTGTGGGGACCCAGTTGTCGTCTTGTACGGATTTGGAGCAGCCCCGTGTCTTGGTCCCCGCTCCAGGACACCTGGAGTCCAGGCTCTGGGCTTTGCTCAGGGACTGCGTGGCTTCCGCCTCTGCCGTTGGAGCCTTGAACTTCCTGCTCCTGCTGAGTCACCCAGGGCTCCTCCATCTCATTCCAGCCTCCATCTGTTGTTATTTAGGGATTATAAAAGGCTCCGAGTTTTATCAGAGACCAAGGCTGTGTTTCTCGTCTCTTGCTTTTTGTTTGTTTATGTAACTCTTTGAGACAAGAACACAGAAAAGCTTGCACATTTACTCCAGCATCTTGAAACAGAAAAATCCCATTTGATTAAACAAATAGTACCAGGATTTCACTTCGTTATGGACTAATAATTTCCACATTTATCTCATGCAAAATCGAGTCTGGTAGGTTCGCTGGTATTTTTATTTCCTTAAGGTAAAGAAATGATGCATGTAATGTAACTGGCTTGAAAAAGTTCTATTAATTCTCCGTGTATTTGCTGCCGTCTTGGAAAGAGTCATTCCGTGTTAGTGACAATTTCAAGTCCAGTTTACCCTTTATGGAGTCGGATCTTTTATTTCAATAACTTTAATTGAAATCTCGTCAACATTTGTTAAGTATCCCCTACTGTATTTGGCAGAAGGGGATGCAGGATACTTGGTTTCTCAGAGGCCCCGTCTCCATGTCGCTGACTGCAGGGCCGGTAACTTGGTGACATCTCTGGGGCGGTCCCTCCCTCCCTCTGGTCCTCCCCAGCGTGTGTCTGTGGGCTCCCCCTTGCTCCTGCTGAGGTGGCTGTCACTTCCTGGTGACTCATCTTGGGAAGGGCTCGCCACTGCCCTGACACTTTCCTGCACTTAATTGACTGTCTGGTGCGCCCAGAGAGCCGAGATTGGCAGCAGAGACACAATGTCCAGTCTTGTGAAGCAGGAAGCTTAAATTGTGTTCCACATCCTGACCGGCGGCTTTGGAGGGTAGCGTGAGGCTGGCTCCCTGCAGCTCCTGCGAGTCCGCATCTCGGTGGGCGGCGGCTCTAGCTGTGGACCGGGAATTCTCAGCCGTGGCTCTGCTGACATCTGGGTCAGGCAGTTCTCAGCGGTGGGGTCTCCTGTGCATCGTGAGCTGTTTAGCAGCATCCCTGGCCTCTCCCCACTGGAAGCCAGCAGCACGCCCTCCCCTAGTGGGGCAACCCCAAGCGAGTCCCGACATTGCTCGGTTGGGGCGGCTGGGACGCGTGTCGGGAGCGTCAGGTGACGATGGGTCTCCTTTGTGACTCTGCTCGAGATACTTGGAGTTGTAGGAGAGGTGACCCCGACTAACTAGAATACTGTCACAGCCCCCAGAGTTCTGTAAAACCTGGAACCACTCACCCGGCACCTGTGTCTGCGGATGTTGCCATTGTTATTTGTTTCAAGCGTCCTGATAAGGTGCATCTATGAAGCCCTCAGTGCTGGAGCCCACAGCAGCTGTGTTCCAGCGCAGTCAGCACTCGGGGAGAAATGACTATCACCCCCGCTTTGACAGATGGGAAAACCGAGGCACGGCGCATTTGGGCAGATTGCCTGGGGGCCATGCAGCCTGGGACGCTCCGGGGGCCCTGAGAGCTCAGAGCACAGCCCTCACCCGCACACTGGGGCGGCTGACTGCACGATGCCCCACAGCCGCTGGCCCTTCCTGAGCCCGGGGACGACGGGCTGCACGTTTCCCACAGGTAGATCTTGTTCATGCGGCCACGGTAGGGGCTCCTTGTTCTTCCTGGGTGGAGCCCTGCCACGCACCAGTCTCTGGAGGTGATTCCGAGGCAAGGGGATCCTCAACCAAAAACAAGTGCATGTGGCGGCCCTGCAAAGAAGACGAGTCGCGACATTGTCGGTTCTTAATGAGTTGCACATCGCTTGTGACTGGGGGGGGGGGACCTGCCCGTGGGGACAGGAGGAGTGATTGCATCATCACAGCCTCCAGGCGGGGACTGAGACGCCCTGTTGCACAGGGAGGCACCGTCCCTGAAGCACCAACGACACAATTGCGGCTGTCTTCGATGGTCTGGAAGACGGGCCATGTAGCAGCACCTCCAGGTCCGTGTGACAGGCACAGGGTAGTGCAGAGGTGGGGCTCTGAGGGACATTGGCTGTAGCGCTTTGTCCCCACCGTCATGTGAGCCGGAAGTACTTTCAGAAGGTGGCTGTGCCGGCTTTCAGGCATTCGCCCTCCAAGTGCCTTCAGGGTTGTTCAGGAGAGGACTGGGAATGGGTCCAGGAGGGGTCTTCAGATCGTCCGCAGAAAATGTGTATCATGAAAAAGCTGCGCGGATTTCAAGTGCTTTTTCCACCAGAATGAATGTATCTGAATTCTGCCTTCCGTGAACTTCTCGCAGCGCCCCCATCCTGTCGTTTTGTCCTCAAACAAAGCTTGCGCCAGCTCCTGCAGTGACCACAGAGTTCTGCCCATGGAACCCTCGGCCAGGCTGCTCCCGTGCAACAGCCGGACTCTCAGTTCCACGCTTCCGTTTCCCATGGAAACAAAGGCAACCCCCCGGAAAGTGAGCTGAGCAGTGCGCAGAGCTGGGGAGAGGGACTGGCCTCTTACTCTTCTCACTCAGGCCGTTTCTTGCCTGGTCTCATCCTGGTGAAATAACCATGGAAGAATGGGATTGGTGCAGAGAAGGGCTTTGGAAACCCGAGTTCTGCCTTGGAGCCAATGGCCTTTGTATTTTATTTTTGTATGTCATGGAATTAGCCCTCCAGGTGGTGGCGAGAGAGGGAAAACTCCAGATTTTTACCCACTTGCCTTGGAAATTCAAGTCAAAAGAATTTTGGTAGCAAGAGTCATGGCAATGACTTTAACGTTAGCAAATACTCACCAGATAAACTTGCCCTTCAATACCCAGCTCACCTATCACCCTTGCCTTGGAACCTTCTAGGCCTGGTCTCCCCAGTCTCAGGTAGATGTGGCATCCTTGAAAGCTCCTGTGGCATTGGCTCATATTCCTGAAAGAGCACACGCCACGCTGTGTTCTGGTTCATCTTAGTGCCTGCCTTCCTGCCTGGGTGGTAAGGTTCTGGGAGGGAGTGATTCACCTCTGCACCCCAGCACCTGGCAAGTGTGCATGGGGATGCAGGAGGCCGTGTGTGGTCAGGGGGATGAGTACTAGGGGCACTCATTAAATTTCAGCTCTCGTGGGACCCACGTGGTGGAGAAGGGGAGACATCAGCATCCTGTACCTGAGTGCTGATTTCTCCACTTCTGATCCAGCTCTCTGCTGTGGCCCGGGAAGGCAGCAGAAGATGGCCCAGGTGCTTGGGCCCCTGCACCCACGTGGAGACCGGATGGAGTTCCAGGTTCTTGGCTTCAGCCTGGCTGTTTGCAGCCATTTGGAGAGTGAACCAGCAGATCAAAGAGCTTTCTTTTTCTCTGTCTCTCCCTATCTCTCCGTTGCTCTGCTTTTCAAATAAATAAAAGTTTTTAAAAAGTTTGTGTCTCACATTGGGCAAGAACCCCCAGGGGGTGTTTCCAAGCTGCGCCTGCAGGGCAGCCCCCTTCGTGTGTCAGAACGAGGTGGTCAGGGCACCATGACCTTTTCTCTCCCCCTTCTCAATTTCCTCTCCACCCCCTCGCCTCTGCACCCTCCAGAAAGGATCTGTGTGCATGCTCCTCCCTGCAGGGGTTCTGAAGAGCACCCGTGTCTCCCTCTGCAGGCCGGGATCAATGAGAATGATTTCTACGACGGGGCGTGGTGCGCCGGCCGCAGTGACCTGCACCAGTGGCTGGAGGTGGACGCCCGGCGCCTGACCAAATTCACGGGCGTCATCACTCAAGGAAGGAGCTCGCTCTGGCTGTAAGTGGGCCTGACCTGAGCTCTCGTACTCCGTGACTTGGTGTGTGTGTGTGAGGGTTTGGTTGGGCACAGGTGAGTTGCAGGCAGGTGCCTATTCAGCAGGAGATGGTCAAGGGAAGAAAACGGGATGGGGAGAGGAGGCTGAGCTCAGAGTGGACCCGAGTGTGGCTGAGGAGGTGTGTCTCTCACAACACCACCCTCCGCTGGGCAGCAACAGCGGGCAGGGCCCACCTGGCAGGTTAGCTGGAACCAGCCGATGGCGGCACCACAGTGCTGCCGTCTTGGATTAATGGCAGGTTGTTGGCAGCCTGAACACGGGCCATGGTGGAAACTCTGGACAAGCAGCAAGGGCAGTCCTGGGGTGGAGATGTGGACGCCCGGATGTGGGGAACAGGCCAGGAAGCCTGCACAGGTTCCCAAATGGAGGGCCACTGGGGAAGCCGGGCAAGTGCAGGCTGACCCAGCCCGAGGCCCGGGGATGTGGCAGAGCCCACGTCTCAGAACTGGGCTTGGGCTCCAGGCAGGGTCAGTGGCAAGAATGTCCCTGATGGTCATTCCAGAGAGGGGGCTGCAGCCCTGAGGCGCCCTAGCTCGTGGTTTGTGCATCCGGTGGAGTGTTCTTCAGCCCTACAGGGGAAGGTCAGTCTCCCTACAGGGGGAGGTCTACACCTGGGTGACCCTTGGGGACGTGGTGGCAAGTGCAATGAGCCAGACACAAAAGGACAAAGGGACACAGAGGGCATGATTCCACATACAGGAGGACCTGGAGTAGTCAGTGCTGGAGACAGGGAGGAGATGGGCGGTTGCCAGGGGCTGGGGCAGGGGGGTCAGGAGCTAGAGTGGTGGGGACAGAGTTCCAGTTGGGAAGATGGGATGTTCTGGAGACAAAGGTGGCGTTGGCTGCAGATGGGTGTGAAGGTGCTGGGAGCCCAGAGCTGTGCACCTGCCGTGGTTGCAATGATACTTTTCTGTTACATATATTGTGTGACAATGAGCAGATGTAGATGCACAGAGGAATCTTGGTACGGACTGCACCCATCTTACATACCCAGTTGTGTTCCTCTTTTCCTGGAAGGCGCAGGTCGTGTTGTTCATAGTGGTGCTCAGGGCTGGCCCTCGTCCCGGTCCCAGTTCCCTGCTGCCATGTGTTGTGTGGCAGGAAGCATTTTCATCCGTTTTGTCCTCACTACAAGTAGAATTTCCCGAGCTGAGATGAACTGTGCATTTTGGCAACGCTGGGTTATCTATTCGTGCCACTTTGTGTATCCCATTTCGTATGTGTTCGTCTATGCCGGTTTTTGCTCTGTGTAATACATTTTGCTCTAATTAGCCGCTTATTACCATGACGAATGTTTTCACTGTTTGGGTTCTGAGAAGCAAGAATTTTGGCAGGAGGGAGTTGAGTTGCTCAAGGAAAAGAGAGACTTGGCGAGAAAGACTGGTCTGGGGTGATCCACGGGAAGGCAGGGTTTTGCCTGAGTGCCTGGGATTAGCCTGAGTGGCCACGGTGATTAGCGATCAGGAGTCTGGCTGTTATTGGATTAGAAGATCAGAGGAAAGCAGACGCAGGACATTCCACGTCGACAAGAAACACAAGAGGGCTTGGGGCACGCGAGGACCCCAGAACAGCGTCTGTCCTTGGCTTTGCTGGGACAGGAACTTCGATGAGGCAAGAAACGGAATTACTTTCTAGAGTCGGAGTGTTTCTTTAATGCCTGGCCATGTTGCAAGTCAGATGACTCAGCAGGGACAAAGAAAAGACTGTCGTGTGTTAGGGTCGTCCCCGCCTCCTGGGACTCTGCTGTCTCCACTCGGGACCGAGGAGGAAATGCAGCGAGGGTGCGTCTGGGGTCTGCGCCTTCCTCCCCTGGAGCACGCGTGGTGCAAGAGGCATCCGACTCTGAGCCAGCGGGACCGGAAGTGGATGCCGTGCCGTCCTCACAGCCACTCCCCCTTTCTCTCAGCTGCAGCCCTGCCGCCTCACTTCCCAGCCAGCACAACCTGCAGGGTCGCACATTTGGTCTCCGCTTGACAGAGAGGCTGTGTCCCTGGGATCCAGTAGATGCCCTGTGAGTGGCTCCTCACTGCGTGGGTGTCATCATGCAGTGACTCATTGACAGGCCCCCTCACGCTGCACGGTAGTGGGTTAATGACCGTGTGACAGTGTATGCTGTGAGTATGGGGGGGGAGGGGGGCTCATGGAGACGTCAGAGAAGGGCGCTAGCAGAACAGGCTTTGGAGTCATGACAGGGCTCTTGGCTCTTGCAGGTGATGAGGCCTCCCTCCTCTGAACCTTGGTTTTCTGTTCCCTAAAATGGAGTAACAGTTCCATGTCACAGAACGGTGTAGCGGGGCTTGGCTGAGATTCTGTCATCAGTCTGGACGTCACAAGCAGGTGGTAATTAGTGCTCAGGAGATGGGGGTCCCTCCCCTCTACCCTCCTTGGGTGTGTCTAGTCAGCTTTATTTTAGCTGCAGATCCATCTCTTGGACACAGTATCTCTTAGAAACATTGAGACAACACGGACAGGTGAGGCTGCTCTGTGCAAATCTGGGGGTAGGAGGGGCATGGCCTGCCCGGCCCCACCTCCCTCTCACAGGACCGCCCCCGACAACAAGTCCAGGGAAGTGTGGGTGGGCAGAAGTGGACCGGGCAGCTACCCGCCACTCCCGACTCCCCTGAAAGCCAGTCAATGCTTCCCACATCCTGCAGGGCCACGAGCCGGTGTGGAATTCAACACAAGCAACGGCAGAGGTGGAAAATTAGGATTTGCTTTTTCCTGTTAGGTGTGCAAAAGGGTCCTAATCTCAGAGAGTGTTGCCTGTTGTTAGTGATTTTTTTTTTAAAGATTTATTTACTTATTTGAGATGCAGAGTCACACACAGAGAGAGACAGAGAGAGAGAAAGAGAAATCTTCCATATGCTGGTTCACTTCCCAAATGGCCACAACAGCCAGGGCTGGGCCAGGCGGAAACCAGGCACTAGAAGCTTCTTCCAGATCTCCCACACGGGTGCAGGGCCCCAAGGACTTGGGCCGCCCTCTGCTGCTTCCTTAGGTGTATTAGCAGGGGGCTGGATTGGAAGTGGAGCAGCTGGGTCTCGAACTGTTGCCAAATGGTTTACCGGCACTGCAGGTCCCAGCTTTAACCTGCTGTGCCACAGTGCTGGCCCCATTAGTGATGTTTCAGAAGTGGGGAGGAAAGGGGTCCCTGGCCTCTCAGAGTTTCCTAGCCAAGTTGATGCTAAATCCACAATTCCAGGCTTAACAGTTCTTCAGAGAATTCACACTACTTGAAAATAATAAAATACAATTGTTTTTACAACATTGACTCATGTATATTTTCCACCAATATAAGTTACCTCGCTCACGCCACTGCAGTTTAGTGGCAAGTCAGCATCCCAGTAAAAACCAATCTTTAATTTCCCTAGTGACAGAGTATATTAGATACGAGCGTCACAAGTACCACCGTGTGATGATTGAAAAGTTAATTATTGTGCTTGAGGTGATGGCCTGGCAGAGATACAGGCGCCGTCAAGTGGCCGGCGTCCATATTCTGGCTGTCAGAGACGGCGCAGCTCTCCTGGAGGCCCTGCAGATCGGTCCTGCGTGTGCGGCGGCAGCTGGAGCGGTGGGTTCCGCAGGTGAAGGCTGCCTGTGGGCTGACCTTGGGAAAGGAGTCAGGCTAAGCAGGGGGTAGGGGGCGCTCCTGCCACAGCTGGGCCTGGTGCCCCACTCACAGGGTGGGGCACTCAGCTGAGCACCCAGAAGCCCTGTGTGGGTGGAGTCTCGCAGTGTGGGTGGAGTCTCGCAGTGTGGGTGGAGTCTCGCAGTGTGGCTCCTCCTCTGAGCATCTGGCGGGGAAGCAACGGAGCAGGTGAGGTCCCGGAGGCAGGACAATGAGGTCCATCTTTTCCGTGCTGCTCAGAGCCGGGAGGGGAGGATCCAGGGAGAGGGGCTGGCTGAGGGTGCAGGGTGACACCAGTGGAGGCCCCCCCGCTCCCTGCGGTGGTGCAGGTGGGCAGGTGCTGGCTGGGTTTGGAGCCTCCCCCCAGGTGCACGATCTTGGTCTGGGAGGGGAAGTTCTGAGCAGAGTGTGGTGGGCTTGGGGCTTGGGAAGTTAGAGGACGTGAGATCCGTGCTGATGGAAAGCACAGGAGGGTCTCCGTCCAGTTGCACAGGACGGTAGGAGCTGGGCGCGGTGTCCCATTGAGCGCCCAGGCAGTGTGTCCACTGGAGAGCGGGGAGTAGGTGGGGTTGCGGCTGGAGGGCATTGAGGGACCAGGCCGCTGGGGGTGCTGTGAAACACGGATTGCGTTAGGAGCCGAGGGTTGCAGGGCTGGGGTCTGGGGCTGGTGGGTGCGAATTGCAGAGGGCAGTTTGGGAGCCCCTGGGGGAGGCCAGGCCATGGAGGACAGAGGAACAGCACAAGCGGTTCCAGGGGTGGTGACAGTGGGATCCGGGTGCAAGAGGCCACAGGTCAGGGAGGAGCAGGTGCCTAGGAATCAAGGGTGTTGGAGCCACAGATCAGCAAAGGACCTGATGCAGGGCCCCCGGGGCAGGCGGGCCTGGGCTGAGGAGGCAGCTGGAGAGATGGCAGGGTCTGCGGCAGAAGGAAAATGGAGATGAGATGAGACTGAGGCTGGTCCAGGCCCAGGGACCGACTGCGACCGCCCACCGCCCTCCTTCGTCCAGGGTCTGTCTCCACAGCAGGAAGGATTCCAGCCGGGTCTGGCTTTCTGCTCCCTGAGGACCCATCCTGGCCTCTTCCACGCCCTCGGCCTCCCTGGCACTGTGCCTGTTGCCAAGATGGGAAGGGCAGGGGCACGGGGCTGAGCCAGGAGCGCGGGAGGGTGCCCGGGTCCCCTGGAGCAGGGCAGAGAGGGAGGCCTGCAGGCGCCCCATGGCCTCTCTGTCCTGGGCGAGAGAGGGCGGTGTGTTTCCAGAATGTGTCGCGCTGTCTCCCCGCTCAGAGGTGCAGAGCAATGCTTGACACCTGCAG